ATAAAAAGACAAGCCACACAGGGAGAAAATATTTGCAAATCACATATCCAACAAAGACTTGTATCCTGAATATATAAAGAACTCTAAAATTTCAACAATGAGAAAAAAAGCAATGCAACAAAGAAATGGCAAAATTATAAAGCAGACACTTCACCCAAGAGGATATACAGATGGCACGTAAATATATTAAAAGATTCTCAACATCATTGGTCATCAGGAAAATACAACTTAAAACCACAATGAGATGCCATTAGATATCTATTTGAATGGTTGCCATAAAAAATACTGACAAGCCAAGAGCTGGTGAGGATGTGAGGCAAAAGGAACTCTTATATTACAGATGAAAATGGAAAATGCCACAGCCATTTTCACCAGATAATTTCACTTATAGTAATTTATCCTAAAGGAATAAAAATTTTATATTCGTATGAAAACCCATACACAGTTATTGAAACCTATACTTATCTTGAGTTCTGTTATGATCTAATCTGGAAGGAATGACTTTGACTCCAAAGAGAATTTATAGGACTTTGTGCAATGTTCTTAAGAGAGATGAGCCAGAACTGTCTGCTAAGAGAAGGGGACTTGGGGGCTGAGAGAGAGGAGCAGCCTGAGTCTGACGCAGGGAGAGGGGGATTTCTGTAGACACTAGCAGTTTTGGAAGCTTCTCCCTGTTATCTGGACATTATTCTGAGGGGGTCTGGGAAGGCACAGAGTGTGGGAGGCCAACCTTACAGGTGACTGAGTTACACTCCCCAGCTGGGTACTGAGGCGCTCAGTCACAGAAATGGGTGTGTCTTGCTACAGCCCCATGGGTGAAGCTATCCTCACCTGTTCCTTTGTAATATCACCCCTTGCCCTGTTTAGGATAGAATCTTCCATGGAAGTGCCTTGTGTGTGTCCCCTTCTCTTACTGTGCCCTTGGGTGTGGCCTACCCAGGTGTCAGTCAACCTGCTGACAGTGGACATCATGAAGATAGACTCAGCCCCCTGAAACCTGACCCCTTGCCTCATTTGAATAGCTTCTCCTCAATAAAAGGGGTCAGCACGTGCTCTCGCTCTCTTTCTTTGGACCCTTAAGGTCAGAGGAGCCGTCACAGCGACCCCAAAGAAAAAGGTATTTGTGTCTCTTGTGTGGTTATTTCGTGCAGCCCAATTAGCCCAGTTTAACTGGAGTGACCCCTGAGCCTTTTAGTCGCAAGAACAGAAACCCGGCAACAGAGCCTGAAGAGCAGTGGGCAAGTTCTCTTGGGAAAAAGGATTTTATTCAGCCAGACTTCAGTAGTTCAAAGTCAGGTTAATCTGGTTTCAAGAAGAAAGGTGAGATTTCTTACACCTTAGTGACATGGAGCTGCTCCTTAGAGGTTAGTTGGAAACCCAGGAAATGGATGTGATGACCCAGGATTTACCAAGCACCATGAGAAGAGAGCTGTGGGTGATCTCCTGGCAGCACCACCACAGACTTTGTAGAAGACTGAGAAAGAGCAGCCAGAGGGCCAGAAGGGGAACTGGAGAGCTCAGGGTGGTCCCTGAAGGAGGGACTACTCGGCATTAAAGGCTGTGGAGAATTCCAGGAAGATGGGAACTCAGAAGGTCTACCATGCATGGCAACACAAGGGTTCACTGGTGTCATGGGGTGGGAGCCCCATGCTGTGGTGTGAGGAGTGGTGAGGGGCCAGCTGAGGATGTGTGCCCCTCTCAGATCTGAACTGCCTGACTCCATTGGTGAAGCAGAGGTCACCAGGGCAGGGTACTAACTTCTCCTAGAAGAGAATTCTTCCAGGGATAGGCAGCTGCCCTGGTCCCAGTGATGACAAGAAAGAGCAGGGTGACTTAACTCAGAGGAGATCCATGAGTTAAAGAAACCACCCGCTGGAAGATCCATCTGCCCTAGATGGTAGTATCAACTCCTAGAAGGTCACCCCATTGCTACAAAAAAACTAAGAGGAAAGTTTCTACAGAGAAAGAGCTAATATTCTAGGACCTGAAGATTTATCCACATTTCCTTCTCACCTCATTTTTTTGGTGAAAGAATATAGTGATAAAAGATTGGCTCTTTATTTATTTATTTATTTATTTATTTATTTATTTAGTTGTAAACCACAATACCTTTATTTTATTTATATATTTTTATGTGGTCCTGGGGATCGAACCCAGGGCCTCATACTTGTGAGGCAAGTGCTCTACCACTGAGCCACAATCCCAGCTCATCTTTTTTATTTATTTATCTATTTATTTCTGCAAATTCAACATTTGTTCAAAGGTCACAACATACCAATCACTTTGCCTGGCATGTTTACATGTATTGTTCCATTTAATTTTGCAACAACATGTGGGATTGATATACCCATTTTAATTATGAAGAAACAAAGATGCTGACTTGCTCAAGATCACATTGCTAAAATCATGGAGTCCAAGATCACATACCTGAGTAAGCGGTGGAGCTGGAATTTGTACCTCCAGGTACCTGATTCCAACCCCAGTGCTCATTCCTCTACAATGGTGTAATTAAGAGGAATTATTCAAAGCAGATTCCCACATCCTTCCTTGCTTGAGAAGTGAAGAACCACTTGTAAGACTCAGGGCTTGGACAGAGAAGGCATCCTATTGTGTCCACATCCCCTGCCCTGCTAAAAGGAGCTGAGTTGGGGAGGATCAAAAAACCAGGCTGTGCCCTGACCTTTCTAAGACATGTCGTCTAACAAAGCCTCCTTCCTGAGTGGTCCAGAGCTGCTTATCTCCAGAGCAGGTCCACCCCCCCACACACCCCCCTTCTGTGGACAGACCCATTGTAAGGCCACCAAGGTGCTTACTTCTTGCACTGGGCAACATCATTTTCAAGCAACAGGAAGCCTGTACCAATGAAGAGGAGGTTAGGGAATGAAAGGCATGTGCCTTTCAGAGCCACCCACCCTCACTGAGGAGACATGGAAGTGTCCTGGGTGACGGCCTGTCATGGCTCAGGAGGGTGACCTGGAAACCAACTTCTTCAGCTGAAGCTGGGGGAGGGGCCTCCTCCCACTCAGGATGCCCTAGTCCATGCTTCCAGACACTACCTAGACTAAGCTCTGGTCATGTGACATTCTGAGGAGTGTGCCCAGTCTTCTCTGGGGAGTTGCCCCTGTCCCTGGAAAGATCCAGAGCCAGATGGTGAGCCTAGGAGGTCATAGCCAGGAGGCCTCTGCCTGACACTGGAAAGCAGCGTGTGTGGAGTGCAGAAAAGCAGCTCTTCCAACCAGACAGGCCGGTTCAAAGTCCAACTCTGCCACTTGGTTGTTGCGTCGTTCGGGGAGGTTTATTTCAGTTCTCGTGGCCTTTGTGTTCTCATCTGTAAAATCAGGAGCTCAACACTGCCTACTTCACGGGGTCACTCTGCTTAGAGGAGAGAGAGCACATCAGGTGTTCAGCCCGGCGTCTGGCACCTAGCAAACATTCAGCAAGTGCTGGCTGTTATCATCATTTTCCTCGTCATTATCCTTATGAGAAACCCGCCACATGCAACACCCCAAAACAACAGCTAAGCCATTGTGGGAAACAATGGCTCTTGGAAATTTAACCAAACCCCAGAGGCAGCTGGATCTCCAGTTAGGCTGTAAGTGACTCCTTTGCCCAAGAGCCATCATCTGCCCTTCACCTGACACACTCATTTGGCTTCCCTCTCCTTCCCCAGGGAAATTTCATGGAAATTCAGCGTTCAATAGAGTTGGCAAAGCCAGAGGCTCTGACTGGTACTTGGCAATGCCTGGAATCAGGGACACAAAACAGTGTCCCTGTACCCCATCACCACCATAGACCTCCCTGTAGATTCTGGACCACTCAGGGAAGCCCATCACCCTTCTTCTGTGAGTTTTGAAGACTTTATAGATGTCCTGGGCCAAAGGAATGTGTTTTTCTTTTTCTATCTAGAGGTAGCTTTTTCTTTATTCTATTTTTCTGCTCACTCCCCCATACACACCTGCCAATCAACTTATGCCCCAGAAAGCCTGAGAGCCATGGGAAAGGGCCTGATTTCTGAGGAGAAAGGAGTAGAAATAGCCCAAGTCCTAACCTTCTGTCCACGGCCTGGCTTCTGAGGTGATCACCAGCTGCCTCTGGTGGGCAGAGATGTCTGGTTGTTCTCCAAAATAAGTGCTGGTTCTCCCATGGGAATCGGCCAATGAGGACAGTTCCCAGTATGACCTCATCTACTTGGTGTCATGCGACATGCTTGCACATATGAAATGTGAATGGAAATGGCATGCACCACTTTGGGCCAGAGCATTTCAGAAGTGAATATGCCTTCTTCATGTTTCTTTTCTTTTTTTTTTCCTGGTGAGAAGCAGACAGTAATGGAAATGACAACATCACAAGATGGGAAGCGAAAGTCCTTGGAAAACCATGTGCAAGAAAGCCTACTACTAATCAGAACGGCTTTACCAGACTAGCGGGTGAAAAACAAGCTTTGATTGGGTTAAACCACGGCAACTGTGGGAACCGTTAGAGTAGGTACGTGTTACTCCGCCTAGGCCACCATCTCCTTCCCACACCTTTTTGCTCCAAGAAAAGAATCAGAGGAAGGATTTGCCCTGGCATTGATAGAAGAGACTAGAACAAACAAAACTGAGGCATCCAAAGGCCTCACACATGGGAGCAGGCCTGCAGAATTCTGTGCCGTGTGTAGAAGCATGAATGTTGTGTGCATTGGCGACATGGGGTGCTGGGAATTCACCAGTGGGATCGAAATCACTGAGGTCTTTATATTAATTGCAGGGAACGTGACTGCAGAGCATGAAGGGGTGGACCTTTTAGATGGGAGCACCAATCCGATATTCTTGAAAATAGCTGAGTAAGCATGGGAGCCTCCTTGTAAACATGCCTCTTGCTGAGCTGGCCAAGGCAGAGGTAGAGGATAAAGGAAGAAGGAAAAGGACAGACCGTTGAGCACCCTTCCCTCTGCCCCTTCCATCTGTTGTCTACTTTGTGAAGCTGCATCTACTCTTTACGACTCATTTGGAAACTCACCTCCTCTGCAAAGCCTCCCTGACCTCTCTAGGTGTGCCCAGAAGACTCCTTGTTCATGTTCCAAGCATGGTATCCACACTCCACCAGGGCTGCCATCACCCTGGGTCATGACCCAGGTCCTGGAGGAGTCTGTTGTCTCTGAACCTCCTGGGCCCAGCACAAGGACCTAGTGGAGTAGACGCTCATACAACCTATGAACAGGTACATGAATGGATGTGTGACTAAGTGAGCAGAACCCAAAGAGAGGAACCCAAACTAAGATCTGTGACTGAGATGTCTGGACAGCGGTGGGCAACCCTGATGTTCTACCTAGGTGGCCAGTAAAACACACAACCACTTCTGCAGGTCACACAACTTTTATTGCTGGGTGCTGCCCTTCACCCCAGTCTTGATAACAGTCCCCATATACCCAGCCTCATCAAATTCTGGCCACCGCCAGCCTGCCCTTCCAGGGTTGTCTCTTCCCTGGGTGGCTGCCTGCCTCGACTGGGCTGGGCTGATCTGCTTGACCTGCCTCTGAAGATCACAGCACCACAGGGGCCTAGATGGCCCCAGAAGGGTAAGAGTAGGGCTGGGGAGGTACCCCAGAGAAAAGCTCGGGGAAGCCCCAGGCCTTCAGTTAGTAAGGAGGCCAGCCGCACTGATGGCCTGCAGGAGCAGGGCCTGCTCAGATCCCCCAGGGACGCTGTTTGGAGGGCCTGGGGGCCATGTTCCCTTTCTCTCCATGGCCATTTTCAAGTAAGACTTATGTTTCTGGAACAACAAGGAACTGAAAGATTGAGAAAGCTGAGAACAAATCCTCACAGTCCCAGGATAGTCCTGGACAGTAGGGATGCTGCCCATGTGAACTTCCCTGGGGCTCCTGGGGCTAAATAGGAGCAACAACCACGTCTTCATTTCTTCATGCCTTGGCTGTAGCCCCGGAGGCAGGAACAGTTTGTGGTTCTCTTCGTGTTGGATTTTCCTGCCACCCCAAATGAGGATTTGCTTCCCTGAGTATCTCAAAGGGGCTCCTGTCGCTGTAGCCTTGGAGATGTCCAGCAAGGCCCTTCACCCAGTTCCTTGAAGCCAGAACATATAGTAGTGGTACAACTCCCATGAGTCCCCTGGAGTTATAACCCTCAAGGCCCCAGGAACTTCTGGAGAATCTTTTAAAATACATCTATTTCTATTTCTTAAATATAAAAATAAAATAAAATCTGCCCCAATAGCTTGTGACCAAACAAATACGGTGTGCCCGAGCCACAGTCATCAGCCTGGACAGTGTAGTTCAATTCCGGGTATCCACATGCAGGAGTCTGAGTGAGAGTGCCATGCTGTGATGCCAATGGAACTGGCTTTCTGCTGAGGATGGTCCAGACATGGAAAGGCTGGCACTCCCAACAAAATCGTTATCTGTCCCAGGACAGCAATAGTGTCACGTGGGATGCTGGGTATCTGCCCACTCTGGGCTAGTTTCCTAGTCAGGGTTAGAGAAGCAAGAATTCCTGATGTCACTTTCCAGGCCCTTCCCCAGGCTCTGTGCTGGCTTCGCCTCCTCTGTCCATCTATGGACTCCCCATGGGAACATCCACAGAGCCCAAATTCACATCTCCAGAAGACTTCCAGCCTGAGATTCCAAGAAGAGTTGACAGCTCTCCTGGTTTCTGAAGAACTTGGAAGAAGAAGAAGAACAACAACACACACACACACACACACACACACGCACACTCAAAGAGGCAGCAGACAGTGGAGGTGGGATTAACGAAGGTGCCTGGTGACCATTAGCCCAGATATTGACATGGCACAGTGCCTTTGGCCAGTCTTCAAAGCAGCTCATGCCGTCAGGTGGAGCTGGTTAGGATTTCCGGAAGCGCACCTCACTCTGAGGAAGAGAGGAGAACAGAAACCCAAAATGAGCCCAGTGGTCACCTGGCACTGCCATCAGAGAAGAGAGGCAGCGGAGGGAAGACAGAAGCATCCTGAGAGCCCCATGCGCTGGTTTCTGGCCGCTCTGAGCTCTCCACTACTCTGCCCTTGCCCCAGAGCCACGGCTAGTCTCCCGGCTAGCTACAGACAGGGGGCCTGGGGTTGAGCTGGGTCAGCAGAGTTGGGGGCAGATCCTGCTTCCTGATGCTCAATATCCTGCCATGGAGGGAGTCCTCCTAACCCACTCCAGGGGTCACTTCAGTGGCCTGTGAGAACTCACACTTTGGCCATCCCTGGGAGAGAAGAGGAGTACTGAGGCTGGGACTGAGCCCAGGTGGACCCTTTTACTCTCTCTGGGATCTGTTGAGGGAAGGAAAGGAGGGAAAGAAACCCAGACAGCTGGAGCTGGCCTCCGGGGCCTGACATCTGACTCTGCCTTGAACAAATGCAAAGGGCCGAGGGGACTTCTGTTTATACCTCGGGGAAAAGCCTGGGCCCTCCGCCAGCTCCCACTTTGGGGAGTCCTCAGCCTGCCTCCATAGTATCCCTGGGCAGGGCTCTCACCTCCATCTTGCTGTAAATCCAGGGGAGGACTTCCATCACTTTCGTGTACACACCCGGTTTGTTTCTCTGGCCACAGCCCGTGCCCCAGCTGGTGACACCTGTCAGATACCAGCGGTTGTTCTGCTCGCAGACAAGAGGCCCCCCGCTGTCTCCCTATAAGGGAGAGTCAGCATGTCAGCCAGGAGGGGGAGGGCCTCCCAAGCAGGAAAGGGTGGGGCCCGATTCCCATGCCAATCCCAACACCCCAGCCTTCCCCCAGCCCAGGGTCCTGGGCCCTGAGCCTCACCTGGCAAGAGTCTCTGCCTCCGCGAAGGTCCCCAGCACACATCATCCGTGGGGTAAGGTAGCTGTCGTACACTGAGTAGTCATTGCATTTCTTAAAGTCAATAAGATTCACTTGCACCTCCCTGAGGAACGGGGATGTCTTCTCTTCAATGAAGTGAGAGTAGAAGGAGAGAAGATGGGAAGCCATTGAGACTAGACGGCTTCATGGCCCTCTAACCACACACCACAGGATGCAGACTCAGTCTCCTGGGACCAGAGGGTTCCACCCATGCCTGGACCCAGGCCAAGGGAGGCTCTCTGTGGTTGGACACCCAAGACAAATGGGCACACACACCTTCTCACAAAACACAGCTCACTGCATATAGGACAGGGACATACATATGCACAAACTCACCAGCTGCGTGGCCACCTGACACATTGTAACATGCTGGTGCATGTTTAAAGCACCATCAGCGATGTCACTTCATTTGTTTTCATAAACTATGTGCCCTAAAGACGGCAGGCCTTACTGACCCACTTACAGGGGGGCAACCTAGGGCTGAAGTCACAGCCACATGGCTGGTCAGTGATGGAGGTAAGATCAAAGGGCTGAGCCCAAACCAAACACTGCTTCATCTCAGGAAAAGTGGCCATGACTTCATGGAGCTGGTCTGAGTCCAAGAGCCAGGCTGGCTGGACTGTGCTGTCCTCCTGAGAGACATGAACAATCTTATAGAACCGACATCGGGTAAGGCACTCTGTGACTGGGACACAGTAACACAGAACAACAAGACTCCTTCTCTGTCCTGTTTAAGGTCAGGCCAATAAAAGGCCACTGTGTGAACCACACAAACACCCTCTCTCAGCCACATGAGGGATCGCTGCTCCTCCACCACCATAGCTATAGACTCCCTTCCTTTTGGATAAGATTATTAAGTTCCCCAATTATAGAGTTTCCCCTGCTGCCTGACTACATCCAATCTAGGGAAAAGTCCTACTTCTTTGAACACTCCCATGCCACCCACCTGTGCTGAGCCCTTCCCAATGTCCTCTGGTTGAAATGCCCCACAGTTCTCCACCAGGTGAGTTCTCCCTCATTGCCATGAGCACTGAACCCAACTTGTTCAACTGCAGGGCCTTCCCTGGTGGTCTTGCCTGGAGGGCATTGTCACATTGACTGGTTGATACATATGCAGGTGTCTGTATAACACATTCACATGCAAGTTGGGGAATGATCTCCAAACCATCATCTAGATAGACCCTCATCTGTATACCCAGACATGCCCCCCACTACGTGTGCACACACACACATGTCCAAACGCATGCACACACAGCCTGGCATCTCTGCCTCTCACCATCTGTCTCTTTGGTCTTGCCAAAGCCCGTAATCCAGCAGGTCTCGTTGAGGCTGAAGGTCTGTCCATACATGGGGAGGCAGGCAGGGTGGATATGACCTGAAACAAGACCTCGAGGTGTCAGTGAAGGAACAGGCTGGAGGTTTCAATGGGGCCGAGGGCAGGAGTACCAACGTTCTAAGGCCCATCCTTGCTCCCAGAATAGCTCTGAATCCTCCAGGCCTTAGACTGACCAGGCAAGAAATTCAACCACTTTATGGTTTTTGTCTGTTTGTTTTGGTCCTGGGGATTGAACCTAGAGATGCTTTACCACTGAGCCACATCCTCCATCCATTTTTATTTTTGTATTTTGAGTCAGGGTCTTGCTAAGTTGCTTAGGGCCTCACTAAGTTGCTGAAGCTGGTCTTGAACTTGTGATCCTCCTGCCTCAGCCTCCTGAGTGGCTGGGATTACAGGCATGCACCACTGCATCTGGCTCAATCTATCTCAAACCTCCAGTCCTCAGGATTCTGCCAGAGTCTTCAAGGTCATTCTGATGTCAGTAGTTGCCATGTAGGGAGATTCATAGCCTTAGAAACTGCACTGGGCCAAGCTGATACCAACGGAGGGTCTCATCTCTTCCATGCTTTTTACTCATAGCAAGGGACAGCTGCAGGCTAAACTGCAAATGTTAGGGCCATGGCACTTCACGGTGTGTGCAGCCTGATGTGGGAGGACACCTGCTGGTTGGCCAGGGCCCATTGCACTCTATCCAAATTTTTACCAGCATGGGTAAAACAAACAAACAAACAACAACAACAACAAAAACACCACAAGCAGGAGGAGCACATCCCTAGAGACGCACAACACAGCCACTGCCCCCTTGCTCCCACACAGCAATATTTTGAAGGTGCTGTTGAGTATCACTTCATAAATACCCTCTGCAGACTGTGCCCCTAGGTGGTCTAGAGCATTAGTCACCAAACTCCAACTTGCAGGAGGAAAATATTGCTTGAAAAATAGACTTTTGCAATGCTCTCCAAAGTCTGTTGTGTTCATGGCAGCATCCTGCACTTAGAATAGGGCCTGGCGCATATTAAATGCTCCATGAATGGAGAGGATGAGAGGAAGAAAGGGAAGCTCCTCTCTCATAAATAGGGCTTTGAATATCAGTGTCTCCCACATTTTATCTCTGTAAACACACACACACACACACACACACACGAAGGGACAGCATCAATCATTAACAAAAAATGATTTCTTTTCTATGTCTGAAGTAGGATAGAGGAAATAGGATTAGGTAGAAAGGAGACCACCAGGGAAGGGAGAAGAAACTAACTTTAAACCTAAGAAGCTCCAAGGACACCCTCACCCTCACTTCCCAGGCTTGTTTTCCTCCAGACCTAAATTCCTGAAAGGCCCAAGAATCTTAGAGTATTGTGAATCTGGTTAATTAATGCCTACATGCGCGTTGCGAGTTTACACAACTTATTTTCTTTAGAGTAAATAAAGCCAAAGGAAACTATAGTTAGAAACCTCTATAATGAGGACATTCCAAACCTAAAGATCCAGAAAAGAACCAGATCACGGGACCTGTGCTCTGTGCTGCCACCGCCCCCCGCCCCCATACCTCTATGTTCGCTATTTACAAAGTTTCCTTTAAAAGAAGAACCTGAGACCCCAAAATGCATCTCACTCTCGAGGAACACACATTTTCTGTCCCTTTGAGTGTGTACTCCTTGCATTCCTAAATACATCTCATGCCTCTTTCTGATGCATCCTGATTTTTTTTTTTTTTTAATCCTGGGGATTGAACCCAGGGGCACTTTACCACTGAGCTATATCCCAATCCTTCTTATTTTATTATTATTTTTTTTAGAGAGAGAGAGAATTTTTTAATATTTATTTATTTTTTTTAGTTTTCAGTGGGCACAACATCTTTATTTTATTTTTATGTGGTGCTGAGGATCGAACCCAGCGACCCGTGCATGCTAGGCGAGCGCGCTACGGCTTGAGCCACATCCCAGCCCCCTTTTTATTTTTTGAGACAGGCTCTCACTAAGTTGCTGAGGCTGGCCTTGCACTTGTAATCCTCCTGCCTCGGCCTTCCAAGTTGCTGGGATTACAGATGTTAGTCACTGTGACTCTGGCTGTATCCTGAAATTCTTTTGGGCAATGTATATCAATAGCCTACAAGGGCCAAGTTGAGGGCCACTTCTCTCTTCTGGGGAATCTCCTCAGACCTCTGTTTGGTGATGGGCCCATTTTTGAGATGCAAACTCTTAAAAACATGTAATACTGTTCTGTGTTCTGTTATTATATATTCTACTTGTTATTATATATTCTGCTTGTTTTAAGGGAGAATTAAATTCATCAGTGAGTTTTCACAATTTTCTCATAAAGTACTGTAACTCAAGGTGGTTGGCCTTCCAAACCAGTTTTTTAAAAAAATCAGCCCTAATTTATAAACTAAAAGTCAGGGCACATAGTCTGATCACAGGGCTATATAAATCTGAATTGCAATTTTCAAATGAAGGCTCTTCTTCCAGCTCAGGGGCCCATCAAACCCTGGAAAGGGAATGCCACTTTCTGAGAAGGCTGTGCAATATTTCATAGCTTTCATTGGCTTTAGAAACTACTTAATTTGTTTTGGAATTCCTAATAATATCAAGAAGATGGGTAAGAAGTAAGATCTGGATGTTTAGCCAGATGAAGTCCAGGTCTTACAAGATTGAAAAGACCCATTCTGGTCCTGCTTACCGACAGACCCTTGTGTATGTACCCCCACCTCAGCCCCAGTCTCTGCAGGCAGGGCTGGAGGGGGGAGGGTTGAGGGTGTGGCTCTGGTGGGCGTGGCCCGAGTGGGCGTGGTTCCGGTCTGGCCCTGCTGTAGGAGCTGGCTGGAGATCCTCCTCCTCACCAGACTCTGAGGAGCTAAGCAGTCTGACTCATGTCAGCACTGCCTCCGTAATGAATGTGCCAGGAAACACCAGCTCACAGGCTCAGAGCACCAGAATGGCTGGACTAACCAGAATCCTCCAAGGCTTCCAGAAATCCCAGTCCTCCAAAAGAGGCCCTCCAGCTTTTGCCACCAGTGAGGCTTGCTTGTGCTAGAGGATTCTGACCCCATTCTTGAGGCCCCCTTCACCAGGCCTTTGAGAATCTTGGATCTCTCAGCCTTTCAAGATTGATTAGGTGCCCCCATCTGTGTCACCACAGCTTCCCTGGCCCCCAACATCACACTGGTGGCCCCTTCTGGTTGTCTGGGTGTGGGTCACCTGTTTGGTTCTGTTTGCTTTGCAATGGCAGAGCTGGCCTATAGTAGGTGCACAGTGAGTATCTGGTAAGTGAGCCCATGAGTGAATGAGAGATGAAGCCTCATTTGGCATCCCTTGTTCGCAGTGACCTGAGAACTTCCACAGCATTTCCGTGGTGCAGCCCCCTCTGGTCCTTAGCTCTGACTTCACGGCAGCTAGCTGTCGAACGTGCACTGGCTCACGCGCTCCTCTGCAGTGTGTACAATCTGCCAGCCCAGAGCCAAGTGGCAGGAGCGTTGCTTGGGTGTCAGATCAACCTGGATCTCACAAGCTGCCACCTATTACTTGTGGCCTTAGGTAATTATCTTTCTCCAGAGCGCCACTTCCTCATGTGTCAGAGGAAGCTAATAATAGGACCTGCTCCAGAGGGTTGTGAGGAGTAAATGCAATAATACATGTCACATGCTTGCCACAGTGGCTGGCCTCTGCTCAGTCACTACCAGTGCAACAATTCAACCTATTTATATTGACTAAGAGCAGTATCGAAGCCTTGGCTCTGGTAGTAATTTGCAATGTGAGATGTGTCATTTGGAACAAACATTTTTAATCCTTGGTCTCAATTTCCCTGATTATAAAATAAAAGTGTTTCATTTGTAAGGGGACAGATAGATGAGGATGGTGGGAACACAAGGTTAAGAGAATAATTCTACAAACTGAGCCCACTGTACTGACTCCCCCCATGCTTTGTTTGCCAAAAAGCAATCGGCCTGCAGCCCCGCCTGGCCTGAGGGGACAGGAAATATCATATTTCTCAACAAACTGAGGCAAGGGACAGGGGATGAAGGCCTAGCAGTCAGCGTAGATAATGAATAATGGGGGTGGAGAGGATGAGGGCTGGTTATCACCGGGTTGCTAACAGCTAACCTCTGGGATCACACTTCCCAGCTCAATAGGTTGCTAACACCTCCAGGATTGCACTGCCCAACACAAGTGATTACCCCCGGTGCTGCTCCTTTCTGCCCTGAGGCATGTACACAGAGAAGAAGGAGAAGGTGGGGGATTCTGGGGGTTTATAAAAGAGTAAGACACCCCTAGTTCTGGGCCTCTTCTCTCAGCAGAAGTCTATCTCTGTCCCTCTCTTAAATAAAACTTCTTTCTACCCTTGCCTCGGTGTTTCTCTGGTGTTTAATCTTCAATACTGGGGCAACAAGGACCTGTCCCTGATCCCCAAGAGCAGTATCCCATCTAATGATGTCTAGGAGTCTTTGACTTTTGCTATGCTGAGGGTCCAGGGCCCCCAGATGAGTCCACAGGCACTGCCAATTCCAAGGGCTGCCAAGGGTGCTGGGGAAGAGAGAAGGGGGCACAGATTCACTCACTGGACAGGGTCAGGGGCTTGGAGAGCCGCACGAGTGCAATGTCATAGTCATCCTGCTCATCCGTGTAGTTGCCATTGATGATGATCTGGGAGATGGAGGCTGCCTCAGGCAGCTGGTGCAGGTTGTGAGTCCCGGCATACACCTTCCAGCCATCCAGGATCTTCTCCCGGGTCCTGCCACAAGAAAGCACTATCCAGTTACCCACCTGGCAGAGTTCACTGGCAGCCCCTGCTGCACACAGGGAACTGCAGCAGGAGCATCAGCTTGGAGGCAGGAGGATAGATGAATTGACCTCTGGAGGGGACCACTATTGTATGAGATCCAAAGCAATCCCCCACACTCCCATATTCTGAACGAGTCATTCTGCACCTTACAATGTGGAAAACTTGCGTGGCATTTACACTCCACTATCTTATCAGCAGGCCACCAAGGATAACAAGCAGTGGATGGGACAGATCACAGTCATAGTACCCTTAGCAGCCTTGGAGATTTAGATGGGACAGAGTGACCTGCTGAAGACTTACTTATGGGAATCCAGAGCCCCTGAGGTCTGGGCTGTATGGGCCCCTGAGGGGACAAGACTGACCAGACACCATCAGAGCTGACTGCACTGTTCTCTCTTCATCCCCATCCCTCAATTCCTGGGACCGTGTTCCTGACTTCTCAGGCTCCTCTGCAGGAGATGGCATAAGCCCAAAGCCTGTTTTTCCACCCTGCTCTTCAGGGCAAGGGTTCAAAGTCCCTCTTCCTTCCTGCCTCACTTTCCTGGGAGAAATCATAGCATTTTCTCATTCTTGGACCTGCCTCAACACAAGTGCTCCAACTCACACTCCAGGACCAAACAACCACTGCAGATCCTGACCAGCAGCACCAGCCTCTGGCCCAGGGGCACTGGGCTCACACCACTCCCTCCTCCACCGAGAGGTCAGTCCACAATCCTCCCTTCCTGGTGATCCCCTATCCCTAGCAGCACCGAATCACAGGTTCCTCACGCACTTACACAAAGAAGCAGTGGGCAGCGGTGAGCACCCACTGGGCATCGATGAGCGTGCCGCCGCAGATGTGGGTGATGCCGTAGTGAAGACTGACTTGCCAAGGCCACTTGTTCTCTGAGGTCAGCGTCCCTCCCACGATCCTCCCGGTTATGGCTCTTAGACCACAGTCTGGGGAAGTGAAGAGACAAACCATAAACCATAAACCTGCTCCTCTCAAAGCCCCTGCCTCACTCCCTGGGTTCCCTGCAGGCTCAGGCATCCCATCCTGAAGGGTGCCCACCAGCCACCCTCCCACCCACCTGAGATGCCTCTTTGCCTCACCTAGTCTAATGTGGTACAGCTGCTTCCTGCTCAAGCAGGAAGACCACATGGTGGGCCAGCATTTTGGATCACCCGGTAGGAAGTTTGATCCGAGACAGCTTCCCCTTTCCTTCTATTCATTCGTTCAATCTTTCATTAATTTGATCAATGCTTACTAAGTGCCTAATGTTTGTCATTGAGCCAGGCATTAGGGTTTCAGGGTACAATCTGGGGCTGCTGCCAGGGGCTCAGAAAAAACAGATTCTAACATGACCCTGAGCTGATAAGCATTGTGAAGGGCATCTCTGTCATTCAAAATGATGGAGAAATAAACTTCCTGTAGTACACACGTGGGCTTGTGCCCACACGATGGGTCATTGAGTGCTGTTGGTGGCCCTCCATCTCAGGGAACATCTCCAAGCATGGCTGGAGAGTCACCCTTGCAATCATGGACCAGGAGGCAGCCCCCAGAGTGTGCTTAGACCAGTGTCTTTTCTCCTTGCAGGGGAGAGAGTGAGGCCCTAGGGGGGTGGTCACTCCATCCATAGCCCTGTGTCCTCCCTGCCCCTAGCTGTCACTGAAAACACAGTCATTCTGGGATGGGTCACAGCCTGGGCTCCAGGTCAGACCCAAGGTCAGATCCCAGCTTCTCATCTGCCAGTGGCCTGTCTGACCTCCGGCAATGTAAACATTTCAACCTTACTTAAAAGGTAGGTGGACAGTATTAGCATCTGCCTCGAAGGGAAGCTGTAGGCACTCACTGCAGCCTTGATTGTAAAGCCACCACGCAGTGCCCTCCATGTGCAATGTGCTCATAGCTGTTGGCTCCAGATCCTCATCTCCATTTAGGGCCCTGTCTATGGATACAGAGCCCTTAGCTTCCCACAGGCTGCACTCCTGCCCTGTCCTTGGCCTTGGCCTAGAGTGCAGAAGACTTGTGTGGCTTCCTTGGAAAGAGAGAAGTTGCTGACTGACCCCTATCAGAATTAGGAGAGAGAAAATGTGATTCTAGGATGGCCCTTATGGGATTCTGGTCCTGAAGCAGGACTCCTGGCTGAGACCCTCCTCCTTGCTGAGACCCGGGCCACTCATCACCTCCTGCCCCCTGACTCCCAACCGACACACAGCACAATACAAAAAAAGAGCATCTTACGGGAACACTGGAGAGAGACGTACCGCTGGGAAGGGCATTCAGACCTGCAAGAGGACACACAGAAGGTGAGAAGAGTAGCCACCTCCTCCAGGAAGACTTCCCAATTGACTCCTGCTCAGATCCGATCCCATTTCCAGGAAGCTACCCTTGTCACAAGAAGTGGAGACTGACTTTCTCTCTCCCAGTGGGAAATTCTTCCTTCCGCACTTTCTCCAGGAATAGGGATGGTTCAAAGCAAATTATCTCCATTCTCACCTCTTTGAACCCAAGTCTTCACTGTTCTAGCATCTTCCACAACTAAACAGGTAACCAACCGAAGGCTCCTCTGATAGGTCCTCAGGGTAACAAGCAAACCCACCTAACCTAGAGCAGGCATCCAGATGCACCACACTATCTCTCAGACCCTTGCTTCTTCTCTCCCTTCCACAAAGTAAACAATGCCAGCGGGTGGAACACCTCCCCCCCAGTGGATTATGTTACAATTTGGATATGTGGTATCCCTCAAAAGTTCATATGTGAGACCATATAAGAACATTCCGAGGTGAGATGATTAGATTATAAGGGTGGTAGCAATCGATGGATTAGTCCACTGATAAGGATTCACTGTGTGGTAACTGCAGACAGGTGGGAGTGGTTGGAGGATGTGGGTCATTGGGGCTTTGCCTCACAGGCTGGTATTTTGTCCTTGGTGAACGGTGTTCTCTCTGATTCCTCATTGCCACATCCTGAGCTGCTTTCTTTGCTACACCCTACCACCATGATGTTCTGCCTCACCTGTGGTCCAGAGCAATGGAGTTGGTTGATCATGGACTGAAGCTCTGAAACAATGAGCCAGAATATATTTTCCCTCCACTAACTATTCTTGTCGGGTCTTTTGGTCACAGTGACCAAAAAAAAAAAAAAAAAAAAGTGACTAAAACAGACTGGGAGAGGAAGGGCTGCAACACAAGGATGACAGAGAACCAGGAGGTCCCAATGGAGGCTGATGCTTCCTAGATGGGCTTCCTGGTCTCTGGCCACTTGCACCTGCAGTGCCCTTGCTCTTGATCTCCAACCCAATCCCAGCTATGCTTTTTACTGCTGCCCCTATTCCAGTCTCTGCAGAAGCTTTCAGTTCAAACACCTGGCCGATGGGTGGCCCCAAGATTTATTTGTCAGGCAGCAACTGAATTATGGCTCTCAAACTGTCCTGTGACAGAGGGGACGCCTCTCTTGGGAACCCTGTTCAAAGGCCTCGATTTGAGACTGCCCTGTTGCTATGGTGAAGCCCTATTCAATAGGAGGTTCTGAGCCAGCCACAGAGCTATTCAGTTCTTGGCCTTGAGATTCAGACACCAGGTGCTCGGGGGTGGAAAGTTATGGGCACAAGTTGACAATCATAATCAGGCTGCTCATACTCATGACCTTGGCTCTGCTTACTTGGAAGAAACGTTCTCACAATAAATCCTTTTGATGTTTGTACCTACGTAATAAACATGCTGAGCTTGTTGCATGTCACCACCTCCTAACAGGGTTGTAGTCAACCACCGAGACCCAGTTTTTTCCTCTATTTGTGTATCTGTCTTTTCTCCATCTCCTCACTTCCTGGCTCAGAAAACTGAATTAAGAGCCGTGCAGGGGACATGGCATTTATTAATTGTCACTGACAACCAGGCAAACTCTCAGCCCGAAGGCTCAAATAAGAACTTTTAAGCCAGTAGGCGGGGTGGTGAAAATGGAACGTAACTGAGATACCCTTGAACGTTCATGATGGATTCCTGGGGCCTGGGTCCATGAAAGGCAAGGGAGAGGGGCTCCCTGACTCAAAGACCCTCCCAGCCCCTCATTCCACTGCTCACAGGCAGGCAGCCTGGTTCACCCCACCACACCTGCGGAGGCTCTCCTGGATGGTGGAGTTGTACTCAGAGATTGAGAAACTGCTGGCAAAATCCCTGTGGGCCACCTCGGTTGTCCGGTAAGCACTGTGAGGGAGGAAGGAGAAGAAGAATGAGCCCACTGGAGATAGAGTGTCCCAAGTTCTCCAGATGGCTTTAGAGCCCTCACCCCAACAGCCCTGCAGACAGAGGCTGGACCGCAGTGGTCTGAATGGTGGCCACTCTTCCATGTAGCAGTCAAGGCCCCATATAGTTGGACCCCACCTGCATATTCTGCCCCAACCCACTAGCCCCGTGTACCAGCCCAGTACTTCTCAAAGTGTGGTTCCAGACAGGGAGTTCTTTAGAAATGCACATTCCCAGGTTCTACCCCAGACCTATTGAATTGGAAGCTCTGGGGATGCTCCCAGCAATCTTTATTTTAACAGGTCCTCGAGGCAGTTCTAATGCAAGTTTGAGAAGCACCAATCTCACCCTTTTCTGTCTAAACTGTGGTCCATGAACCAGCGGCATCAGCATCATCCCAGACCTGCTGAGTCTGAATCTGCATTGCAAAGATCTCCAGGTTGCTGACTTGCATTTTTTAAGTTTGAGGACCCTAGACAAGTACACTGGTGACTCTCAGGGCACAGCATGCCAGGAATCCCCTTGGGTATGTGCTAAGCAGGTTCTAAATCCTAATCACAGAGATGTGGGTTCTGGGGCACATCTTCACAAGCACCTCAGGTGATTCTGGTGTGTTCCACTCTCTGTGTGGAAATTGTATACATTTCTAGAATGTGGCGTGTCCTTGCCCAAAGCTCACACATGCTCTTCCTCTACCCAGAGGGAGGGCCCATCCTTCCATCCTCTTCTCTTTCTTCCAAACGCAGCTAGGCACCTTCGCTGTCCTGGGCCCACAGAGCCCCCACGCATGTCCTTAAGTGGGATTGTTGGTGTAAGCCTCTCTGACTAGAGCATCTTCAAGGGCAGGATCACCTCTTACTCCATTGTGTCCAGGTGCCACATAGTCACTAGCAGCTCATGAAAGCTCAGTGAATGCTCTTTGAATAAACGATATTTAAAGAACTGAATCTCCCCGGGGGTTCAGGCTTGAATGTGGTCACACAATTCAGGAATAACAAATGTCATTGGTTTCCATTGGATTACTCAGCATCTCCCTGCCCTCCACCAGGACTCTGAGGCTGAGGAGAGGGACGGGAACTAGTTTTAAGTCCTAGCCCCCAACCATGGTTTTCCAGGTGATTCTTTTACAGAGAACCCACAGGGAGATCCTAAACCTTTTCCCCACAACCTCACACACAAAACCACTCAGCTTAATGACTCAGGCCAAGAGGGAGGTTGCCAATTGGAGGCTCCTTCCGTAGGAAGGTCACGATCCACCCTGCTCCCTGTTCCACCCATCATCATTGGCTCCTTGATTTAAAATCTTTAGAGTTAAAGCTTCTTATGACTTGACCTGGCCACACCTGCCCCACCTGATTTCCCATTTCATGAGTTCTAGTCCAAACAAAACCTAGTACTGCTCAGAGTCCACCAAAAGGCTTTGCATAGCCTGAGTTTCTGGTTCCCAGTTGTCAGAAGATGAGACCTGACCAAACATCCAGCCTCCTCGTGCAGCTTGAAACCATTCAGCGTGGCAACGACACAAGGTGCTTTGCTGCAGAGCTGTAGAGGGGACTGATTACAGCCAATAATTACGGGGCCTCAGGGAAACCGCTTGCCCCACACTCATAGGATCCCAGGGCCACTGCCTTTTTGAAAGACATACCCTGAGCTACTAGGAACAGCCCTGGTGGCCTATGACCCTTTAACAAGGGGTTCCTATGATGCGCCTGCGACACCCCTGCAAAGAGCCTGCTGCACCCCTGGGGCCCTCGGGAGGTTTACCTTTCAAACCCCAGCTGCCGGCAGGTCTTCTCTGAGTCGGAGTCGTTCCAGCTGCTGCTGCAGACGGGAAGCCACTCATGAGAGGACCCAGAGTAGACTTTCAGCAGAGACTTCTCCCAGTCAAACCTCACTGCAGGGCAGAAAAGGGCAGAGCAGATTCTCAGCACCCAGGAGGCTTCGCTCTTGGGGAGGTGTGAAGGGAATCTCCAAGAGGCTCCTGTCCTGGGGCCGTTCCCTCAGGCCTCGGACATTCGGGAGGTTGGCTCCGGCAGCAGTGGCAGGCCAGTCCTCGGAAACCCAAGATGCTGGGCAAGGGCAGAGCCCTGGCCAGGGAAGGGGCAGGGCGAGATCTCTCCACCAAGGACCCAGAGCCACTGGGAGAAGGGGTGCACATTGCCAGGAACCATCACCCCGAGAGGACAGTGGCATGCCCAAAGGAGAAGGTAACAAGAGAAATAAGGTCTGTGATCTGACACGACAGACTGTCACAGATGATTGTAGTTGTGGACAAGTGGACATGTCTATGCACAGGTGAAATGGACGGGCCACCTGTACGTACAGGCACCCTCACATACACACCTCAGCAGGGCTGAGTGCAGACCTCACACACTCACGAGCCACATGCTCACGAACCACAACAAGAGCACAAACAGATCTCTCTCTAGAACTTCAAGAAACCACAGGAGTGGCAAAGTGGAGGTCACCCACTGGACAGAGAGGAGGGACACAGGGATGGTGCTCTGGACCCCTTAGTCATCTCTAGTCAGAGCTGCTCCGCTTAGATCAGTCTGATATTTGAGAGTTGTCAGATTTTATTGGAGACTCACTAATCTTGTCCAATTCATTCACTTTACAAATTAAGAAACTGCAGCCCTGAGAAGGTAAATGGCTTATGCAGGTCACACAGCACTGAAGTCAAGCTTTAAACCCAAGTCTACTGTAACTAGGACCCAGATTTTCTGATTCTCTGTCCATTTCCTCCTGTTTGATCTCTTACAGTTTGCACCACAGTTAGAAGTCACCAGAGCGTGCATGCACACACACACACACACACATGTGCGCACATGCACGAACACACACACACACTCCCATGTCCAGCCTCCTTACCACAGCCCAGCTCGTCACTCTTCAGCTTGCAGTCCACCACCCCATCACAGCGAACTGCGTGCTTGGGGCAGCTCTCCATGGGCTCCTTGTACTTGATCCCCGTGTGGCCCCGCCAGAAGTAGACTGGAAAAACAGAAGCAAAAGCTGGGTCACAGCCGACCCCACAGAGGCGAGACACTGAGAAGCCCAAGGCCCTGGGGGTTCTGAGACACCGACCTGCAATCCCTCTCGGACTCTGGGGCTCTCGTCCCCCATCTGTATGGAGAGAAAGGCTGCTCAGGAATGCTCCGGAATGCTCCAGAAAGCTCCTGCAAGCAGGGCAGCCCCAGGCAGACTCGAGCAGCCAGCCACCCAGAGAGAGGAGGGGGAGAGAGAGAGAGATGGGGTGCTGAGGTGGGCAGCTCTTGGGGGTCCCCCTGCCCTGCGCGCTGGCTGAGGCAGGGGCTGGAGAAACCACCCCCTCCAGTGTCCCGAGGCCCCTCAGGACCCTCTAGCATCCCCTCTTCTCTGTGCTCCACAGGGTCAGAGCAGACATTTTTATCCCTACAATCACACACATGCAGCCACCATGGTCTTGTCCTCTCAAGGGTGACTGTCCTTCCAGCCTAGGGAGTTCCTGGGTGGGCTTCCTTCTCCCTCTCCCCTAAGTGAGGGTGTCTCCTGTGCTATCCTTGCCTCACTACTTGCCTTTATGCCTTCAAATGTCTTCTCACTCAACTCTTCTCACTCAAGTGTATGAGAAAACCTCTTCAAGAACCTTATACAATCAGCTTCTTGACCTCCTGTTTCTAACAGCAATCCCTTTCCAAGCCAGGAACTGTTGCCCTACTGCCTGGAGACACTACCCGCCCCCCGCCCCCTCAAGATGCCCCAGACAGAGTCCTCATTCCTCACCCGGCCTCCTGGCCTAGCTGACTCCTCAGCCCCAACCCCACATTCTCCCACTGGCCCCACGACTTGCTCTTGGTCACCAAGGTAAAGGCCACTTGTTGTGACTGCTCCTTCCAGTGCAGACACAAATCCCTCCTCTCCATGTCATGGTCCTCCTGTCCTCCTAATCCCTGACCTCTGCGAAACACGGGGCAGTTCAGCTCTCAGAATGTTCGTGAAGTGGCCACCTCAATGTGGATGGGAGCTGGGAGGCTGGGCTCCAGTCCTGACCCCACCACGTAGCTGCACAGTGACCTTCACAAGTCACACCACCTCCCTGGCCCTGATCTCCAGACCTCCCTGAAGGAGCCACTGGGGACTTCAGGAAATGCTCCAAAACCAGGCCAGGAGCTTAACTCTATTCAGGGAGCCCAACTTTGGGTGCCATATGCTCCCTCTGTGGGTCATTTTCCACTCTCATGGGGCAGGATGCAGGAGAGGAGCAGGGTGGGAGCACCCATAGGAGGTGCCACGTGGCCCCGCAAGGCCTTTACACACATCATGACGGACTCCACTACATGGTCATCAGGTGGGGAAACTGAGGCTCAGAATGGTAACAACTTGTTGAAGCCATGCAGTTGGTAGGAAGCAGGAGCAGGGTGTGAGGGCAGGGAGTTCCTGGGTGGGCACGTGGCCCCCTCTCACACAGCCCTCTTCCTCAGCCACCCCGCCCTTTGCCCCACCGTCTCTGCAATAATATCCTTATGCTTCTCTGTGTGGCCTGGCCTTACTGAGCCAAACAGATGACCCCAGGCCCCCAAGTGTGTACTCTCCCCTGTGGCTGGGCAGGTCCCCTCCCTCTCCTCATTCCGGCCTTGACCACCAGGCCCCCACACTTCCAGCTGCTTATCTGCTCTCAGGCCCAGTCCAGGTCAGAACTGCTCTTCCATCTTCCACGTCTCCATCTGGCCCCTGCACCCTGGCCCATATAGGTGTCATCTCTTTCTCACAGTCATGCTCAGACACATTTGGCCTGAGTGATTTCCAACCTCTGCCAATCCCAGGAGTCAGAGTGTGATGCGTGCCCACTTTTGTTCCCTACTGAGTTCCCCCCTGTGCTGGGCTCTCCCAGTCAACTGCTGAGCAGAGAGCCTGGGGCGCACCCTGGGTATCTTTTCCAAAGAGGGAGAAATTGAAGGGTCCTGAAACCCTGAACTTAGAACTGGCCAGATAGCCATGAGATACTTTTTCTCATCAATGTTTTCATGCTTTTTTTTTTCTTTTATCTTTTTAGTAACTAGCATTAGGAGAGTGAGGATTTGTGCCACGAATTAGGCCATCATCTCATTTGGTCCTCATACCCGATGAAGTTGGAATGAGAGCTGATGGGCCCATGGAAACGGGTTCTGTCCCATTTGAAGATGCAGAGACTGAGCTCAGTGTGGTTAGCTCACTTGCCCGGGTAAGTTGCACAGGAAGTAGCCCAGAGGGACCCAAGCCCAGGCTCCTCTGCATCCCACACTCTTAACCCAGCTGCCTCAAAGGCTGTTCTATGGTCCAAGGCCATTTGCAGGAGTGTCTCTGCATGAATGTGGTAGCAGAGTGAGCATGGGGTGCCCTGTCCCTGATGTGTGCCCGCATCCCAGGGCCCTGTGCCACCTGGCAACCACCAGAACCCACCCCTGCTCCCTCCATTCAACTCACAGAGAAGGATGAGCGCGACCACGAGGGCGATGAGGAGGAGGACACACCCGATGAGCGGCAGCTGCTTCTGGCTCTCCTGCCAGGAGAACTTGGGCAAGCCGAGACCTAGGAGCAGGGCAGCAAGGGAGGTAAGGCTGCTGGGGAGGAGTCTGGCAGGTGGAGGAGAAGGAAGCAAGGCTGGCCCGGGAGGGCCCATTAGGACCTCTGCACCCAGAGTATGCCTCCACCCTCCTGATGCCAACCCTTTTATGCACTCCTCTGGGCCAGCCAGGCACTTTGCATATGTTCTCTGACTTCTTTCTCACAGTATCCTTGTAAGCTGAGTCCCATTTTATAGATAGGGAAACTGAGGCTCATGGAAATGAAATAACTTGCCCAAGGTTGCTTGGCTAGGGAGTGACAGGGCAGGGGATCACATGCAGTGTGTCTGATTCCAAAGCCCACCAAAGTGCCTCACCCACTCTGAGAAGCAAGACTGGGATGGTCCCCAAACCTCTTTGGCTAGGAGGAACCCAGCACAGGGGGGAACCTCAGTAGGGTGCAAAATGAGCACATATCACAGAGCCCTGTCCTCAGGGAGCTTAGACTCCTAGGGGCAGGGGCTGAAAATACTTCAGGCCAAATGTGTCTGAGTGGGACTGTGAGGAAGAGGTGTGGAGACCATGGTGGCCGGTCACAGTCAGATATCAACCAGGCCTGCCTGCCTTGGGTTTTCAAGTGACACTTCCTCTCTGCCTTTGCCTCCCCAGGTCCCTCACAGCCCACCCTGGCCATGCCCAACATCATTATCCCAGAGGCCTGAGGAGCAGAGAGCGCCAGCTGAGATCTCCTGACACCCACAGACTGCTTCCCTGTTCCTCCTGCCCTCCCTGCCATGTCCCCCTTACCTGGGCTCTCCCCTCTGGCCCTGGTGGCTGGCGCTGACCTGGCAGGAGATGCCCGGACTGGGACAGCCCCCACTGGTGTCGCTCTAACAAGACACACTCTTGTTGGAGAGGACGTCGTGGAGGCTGACCTGGCCGATGATGACCCTCCCGATGAGGACCTGGATGGGGAGGCCCGAGCCGGAGACGTCCTTGCTGGAGAAGCCCGGGCTGGGGGCGTCCTTGCCGGGGAAGCATTCTATAACAGAACAGAGGGTGTCCCTCAGGCGGGGCCAGGGGATAAATGGACAAGGGCTGGGGTGGACAAGGAAGCACCTGAGAAGACATGTGTGAGCAAGGGGAGAGAGAGTGCTGGCCCCGGCTCCCCGACGGGGACCCGCAGACGTGGGCAGAGGGCAGGGGGCCATGTGCTGTGAGCTGGGGCACCTCCTCAGGCTGTGTGTGTAGAGGGAGGGTCAAAGAAGGGGCTGCTGGGAGGCACACTCTCTCTGAGATGTGGGATGGAGGAATGCCGTCCCCTGTGGGGAAAGTCACCACCCCCTCACTTCCTCCTACACCCCCATCCTTTTCTTTCATGTATGTGTTAAATTATAAAATACTGTCTCACTACTATAAGCTTTTGTGAAAAAGTAAAACACCCTGCTTAAGAAAAGCCCTCAGCTGCCCTGACAAGCCCCCATTCTCAGTCCCACTGGACTTTTTTTTTTAATATTTATTTTTCAATTTTCGGTGGACACAACATCTTTATTTATTTATTTATTTATTAATTAAAGAAAGAGAGAGAATTTTTTAATGTTTATTTTTTAGTTTTCGGCGGACACAACATCTTTGTTTGTATGTGGTGCTGAGGGTCGAAACTGGGCTGCACGCATGCCAGGCGAGCGCGCTACCGCTTGAGCCACATCCCCAGCCCAGTCCCACTGGATCTTGCATGCATATGCACATGTGCACGAATCCGCCAGGAGCCTCAAGAGGTGAGAGGCAAGGGAAGAAGGCACAGGCTGGGGTGCGGCTCTCCCATGCTTGGACAAGGACCTTAGTTGGAGTGGTTTTTAATTTATATTTACTGTGTTAATTTATATGTACAGAGGACTTAATGTGCTCTAAGCCCTTTATATATATTTCCTCATTTAATCCTCTTAACAATCCTATGAGGCAGGAACCATTATTATTCCCATTTTGCACAGGGAGGAACAGAGGTGGAGAGATGAAGCAACTTGATCAAGTTCTCAGAGCTAGAAAGTAGCAGAGTCAGGACTTGAACCCAGAAAGTTGGAGTCCAGGGCTCCTGGCGGACGGCTACACCAAGGAAGGCAGCAGCTGGAACTTCAAGGGCAGTCAAAGAACAGCCAGTGCTGCTCCTTTCTGGAAAGCCAAAGCTTGGAGAGATCTAAATCCGGGAGAGGGAGCTGGTGGGCAGAAGTCCCCCTGACCTCCCTCCTGCACCTCTGCCTCTTCAGTCCCCTTCTGAGCCCCCAGAGCAGGAGCTGACCTGGCTCCCGGGCTACATCTGACCATCATTGTAACATCTGCTGAGAACTGGTTGGCTGCTCAGGAGGGCAGCTGTCCTGGCGACAGTGGAACAGTGGAGGAACCCCACCTAGGCTTGGGGACCCAGGGGTGGGGAGGGCACTGGCTCTCTTAGGCCTCCATTTCCATCCCTCGCCAACCACACATTGAACATCCTTCCTAAGCAGACCAGACCCCAGTCTTCCTCATGGGCACATCAGCCGGAGTGCACCCCTCATCCCTGCCACAAACGCCTATTTGGTTTTACTTTTTATATATCTTTGAAAAACTTTTTAAAAATTTGTTTTAATTAGTTATACATGACAGCAGAATGCATTTCGATTCATTGCACACAAATGGAGCGCAACTTTTCATTTCTCTGGTTATACACGATGTAGAGTTGCATCGTATGTGCAGTCATATATGTACTTATGGTAATGTTGTCCATCTCATTCCACCTTCTTTCCTGTCCCCATGTCCTTTCCCCTCTTCTCCCATTTCCTTTGCCCAATCAAAATTTGTTCATTCTTCCCACTCCCCCCACCATTATGGATCAGCATCCACTTATCAGAGAGAACATTTGGCCTTCATTTTTTGTTGATTGCTTACTTCACTTAGCATATATTCTCCAACTCCATCCATTTACCTGAAAATGCCATAATTTTATTCTCTTTTAAGGCTGAATAATATTCCACTGTGTATATATACCACAATTTCTTTATCCATTCATCTGTTGAAGGTCATCTAGATTGTTTCCATAGTTTAACTATTGTGAATGGAGCTGCTATAAAATGTTTATTGATGTGGCTGCATCACTATAGTAGGCTGATTTTAAGTCCTTTGGGTATAGACCAAGGAGTGGGATAGCTTGGTCAAATGGTGGTTCCATTCCAAGTTTCCTAAGGAATCTCCATATTGCTTTCCAGAGTGGTTGCATCAATTTGCAGTCCCACCAGCAGTGTATGAGTGTACCTTTTCTCCCATATCCTCACCAACACTTATTATTGCTTATATTCTTTTGATAATTGCCATTCTGACTGGAGTGAAATGAAATCTTAGAGTAGTTTTGATTTGCATTTCTCTAATTACTAGAGAAGTTGAACATTTTTTCATATATTTGTTGATCAATTGTATATCTTCTTCTGAGAAGTGCCTGTTCAGTTCCTTGGCCCATTTACCTTGGAAATTAGTGTTCTATCTGACGTTCGTGTAGTAAAGTTGTTCTCCCACTCTGTGGGTGCCAAAAACATACATTGGTGAAAAGATAGCCTTGTCAACAAATGGTGCTGGGAAAATTGGAAATCCATATGCAGCAAAATGAAATTAAATCACTACCTCTCACCATGCACAAAACTCAAAGTCAAGTGGACCAAGGATTAGGAATTAGACCAGAGACCCTGCATCTAGTAGAGGAAAAAGTAGGCCCAAATCTCCATCACGTTGGATGAAGTCTGCCTTCCTTAACCAGACTCCTAAAGCTCAAGAAATAAAATCAAAAATTAATAAATGGGATGGATTCAAACTAAAAAGCTTCTTCTCAGCAAGGGAAACCATCAATAATGTGAAGAGAGAGCCCACAGAGTGGTTTTACTTTATAAATTCCCTCTTCTGTGAGTCAGAAGTAATCGGTTTGGGGTATATCCTCATTTTGGGGGGGGATGAGGAATGAATGCAAGGAAGAATCCCCGGTTCCTGACCACAAGTGACTTGCCAGAGACACTGTCTGGCAGGCCGGCCTGGGCCAGCAGGGGCGGGCTCGGGTGCATCTGGGGACCTGAAGGCAGCTGAGCCAGGGCTGAGGTCGCCCTCTCATTGCCATTGTCTAGAGCCAGATTTCCATGAAACAAAGGTTAGACTCTGGCCACTCTAAGCAGAACAGGACTGGGGTCGGGACAAAGGTGGAAATGGGGACAGTTGATGGCACTGGTGTGGGTCAGGCAGACCTGGGTCCCAACCCTGGGTCTATTACTCAGTAGCAATGTGACTTTGGGCCAGTACTTTAATTCTCTAAGCCTTTTTTTCTTCACCTATAAAATACCCCTTAGGAGCATCCTTGCTGGCATCTGGCGCACAGAAAGTACTAGAAAATGGCTGTTCCCCTCCCCCTTGCCCTGAAGCACACAGCATGCTCAACCATGCCTAGATCATCAGCCATGGACATGATGAGTGGCAGATATGGGCTGAGTGGTGGGTGAGCTCATCTTAGGGAGGAAAAGCAGGGTGATGGGCAAAGCCAGGGTCAAGTCCCACCCATGTAAGACCCTGAGCTTCCCACCTGCTAGGGACCCTCTCTCCTAAGTTCACACTCTACATTTTCCCAACTTCAAGGGTATTTCCCATCGTTCAGATAATAAAATACTAATCACTCATAAGTAGACGGCACTTTAGAGTTTACAATTGACATTCATGTCTGTGGCCTCACAAGGTCCTCATCTCATCCTGAAAAGCTGATCATTCTGGGAGCCCATTTTGCAGATAAGTAAGTCAAGGCTCAGAGCTAGATTACCAGAATCACCCAGGACTCCCCTCTGGCTTACTTGCATGAGTTCCTGCCCCTCTTGAATCAGGAGAGCCTTCTGGAGCAGTCTGCTTATGCTTAAGGTACTCATTTCGCATTTGGCACACAGCCAAAGAACTAGGACCACCAAAGAACTGGGACCTGGGGCCTGGTAGGGCCAGCTGCTCCATTGGGAACCCAGAGGTTCCCACAGGGAAGTCAGTCTAGTGGAACCTTCTGGCATGAACCATGGTTGGGCCCTGTGACCTGCCAGGACTGGGCAGAACATAGTGACCTAGGGCAGTGCCGTCACAGTTAGTGACTGTGCTGGAATCTATCTAGCTGTGTGACATTGGACAAGTGACTTCGCTTGTCACAACTCAGAGGGATCCAGTTCACCCTGCTCCGTAGCACGGTCGTCATAGGTGATATACACAAAGCACTTGCTGAAAAGTAAGGGCTTGGGTGACATTGGCTGTGCTGGGGTTGCTCGCTGTGGTTTGGGAGTGCTGGCCTTGAAACAGGTCTGCCTGAAAATGCCTGGGTCGTTTCTAACTGGGTTTCCTTGGGCAAGTAACATGGAGCCCATCAGAGCCTGGCTCCATATCTGTAAAGTAGGCTTAATCTCACCCCCTTCCCAGGTAAATGGGGAATGTACAGGAAAGATCCTGGTCTATAAATGTGTGTTCAACTGTAATAAAGTTAACAGCCCACTAGGGACTTTGCTGCATCCTATTTCAACCCTCTGACAGCTCTTTGTGGTTGGTATCATGAGCCCCATTTTACAGATATCAAAACCAAGGTCCAGGGAGGTTAGGGATACACCAGATTCACCTACCAGGGAAGTGACACAGCTTGGATTCTAACCAGGTCTGCCAGGAGCAAGTAGAGTCTTGACCAACAGTATCACAGGTACCCAGGGGAATTTCCTTCCTCTCTTCAGGTTAGTATTTGTGAAGCTTCACCTCCACTGTTTCCTTTGATTCTCACAAGGCTCCTAGTGAGCAAGCTGGGCAGTATGATTGTCCCCAGTTTCTACAAGAGGAACTGGGGCTCAGGGGGACTGAGGAGTAGGCCTACCCCACCCCCAACCTCTAACGTAATCTTTGCATTCCCAGGGAAGAGCTCAGGCTGTCTCCACCTGAATGTGACTATGACTCTGGGACCCTGGGACCCTGGGACCCTGGGACCTCATCATGAGGGGTACAACAAAGGGCTGGGCTGGAGAAGAA